TATCATAGAGAGTGTCAAGAAAACAAACATAACACTCGCAAAAACAGAAGCTTTAAAAGAACCATCAATGCCTTTTCCCGCAAGAATATTATTATTCTGCCCATTCAAGAATGAGGTAATGCCTTCTTCCTTAGTTTCACTGGGTTTTGATTCTGTGGTCGTACTTGCCTCATTTTTTACCACCGGTGCAGTCTCACCCTCGTTACCAGCATTATTACTTGTACCAGCACTTTCACTTGGTTTTGCTGTTCCAGTAGTCTCAGTGACGGGTTGAGTACCATCCGACAGTGCAGACGTTGTCTCACCTTCTGGTAGAGTTGTTTGGATTGCTTCAACAATGTCTGGGTCTTTTTCTGGACCTTGTGATTCATCCAGAGTTTTGTTGATTGTATTGCACACATCAGCGTATTTGGGGCACACAATTTCACCCTGCAGTACACTTCCATTCACAGTTAGATTTTCTCCTTCAGGACAACTGTACCAATTATCGTTTCCATTGTACCGCACAATTACCTTGTTGAACTTGCAAGACACCTCCACACACACGGCACCAACTGCTGCATTGTTGTTAGCCTTTAGATCTTTACCCTCCACACAGCGTGAGTTATTAGCAATTACACTTCCAGGCAAATTGCTCTCCTCACCATTGATGCAGCTGTAACCTTCTTTTGCTGTAATAAAAGGGCAGTAATCCATTTGAAATGCTTGTGAACCAATCTTTTTTTTGTCAGAAAAGTATTGGAAGTGACCTGGAAGTTCCCCCTCAGCAGGTTTTGCTTCAATGCTGCACCTCCCCAGTGACTGGCGATCAGATGTGCATTGTAGTCCTGCAGGTCCGTCAGTGGATTTGGTTGTGCAGAACATGTTGGAGAACTTCGTTTCCCCGCTGTTAACACACTTATTATTCAAAAATGCACACTTAGAGTTATTGCCCCAACTCATCTGCTCTGCCATTGTCCAATTAACTTTGTAGTAGCCCAGATCAGCGAAAGCTCCCATTGTAATTGCGGTGTAGTACCCAGCACCAACGAGACCAACCATTAACTCATCCTTTGCGTTGCGTCGACTCCAGTGTGAGAATGGCTTCGGTTCTCTGTGGTCTGAATGAAATCGAAGCGTCTCAACAATACACTTTGTACCACCCGCAACCTCCCCATCTTTGCTAGGCGTGCATTCGCTTGGGGTTGGAGATTCTGCAACCGTAGCTTGAAGGTATAGTGAACGTCTTTTCGAGAAAAAACTTGATGAATGATGTACATTCTGTGTAAACTTGGTGGAACTGAAATCCTCTTCTCCACGTCTCTCTTGCACAACACTGCCAACAGACTCCTTTCCTGTCAAACGATAATCCATAACATTACTCTGTGATTCTCCCAATTCATACTCCTCTTGTACACTTGCAGTCAGAGCGTGCGGCGGTGATCGTACTGGTCGTTTTGGTGATGATGCTCCAGGTGCACCCAGAACCCCTTCTTGGAGATTCGTCCTCCTGTGAGTACTTCTGCTCTCACTTACTTCGGGTCGTGGTGGTCGTGGTGCACCTGGCCTTTGTGGCCTTTCAAGCGGTTTAGGGCGATTTTTCCGGGTTAGTGGTCCCATTTGCATACTTTGTAATTCCATACCATCTGCAGAATTACATTTATAATGGTCCATGGCCTCTCTCCGCGTGTTTTCAGAAGAAACAACAAAAACATCGGTCTTATCACGCAACTTAACATCATTACGTACCATACTTTTTCTTTTCATCCGCTCGAAATTGAATCCAAGTGCATGGGCAATCTCATGAGCAGCAACGCGAACACGCTGTGGTGTGGCCACAATATACCGTGGACCGTAATTAATGATCCCAATAACTGGACGACCATCAGGACCTAATGTCGCACATGTTGCCGCCCACGCAAATGTTCGATTACGCGTTGGGGTAGCAGCAACGTACAGCACCATGTCAGTGGCGGAAATACTACTGCCTATATGATCTTGTGGTATGAACATGAAGCAAAGACTGTTTGGATCGGAGAACTTCGGCACGACAATAGTACCCTCCAATCGTTTAACCAAAAGACGTTCCTCGTGCATTTTAATTGCCTCAGGGAGAATCTCTTCAACAAGAATTTTCTTTTTCTCTGGCGTCAAGATATCATCTTTTGTACAGTTAAATGACGTGTTCAATAACGTTTTAATCGTTGTCCCGTCATGTGAACAATGTTCACCTTTGTTCAAATTATCAGAGACAAGTTTAATGCGAATAGGCTCCCATCCTTCCTGAGGTTCTTCTCTCTCACCAGGAGGCTTAGTTCTCACATTTCGCGACAATCCGGAAACCCCTCGAGCGCTCAAGATTGTCATTTGATTTGAATCGCGAGCCTTTTCAGGATCAGCACCAGCAAACGTGGACACTCTGTCGTGTATACACCAGTGATGCTCTGTCACAGCAAGAGTGACAAGGGTGCAGTACAGAAGGAGCAACGGAGCAAACAAGAAGAGACGCCGCATTCCTTCACGTGTAATCTTGAAGGGTTTGTGTATTTGTGTGTCTGTAAGCAGAAGAG